CTACAGAAGGTTCAGCTTGGGAGGAATGAGCTTCCGAGCAATGTGACCAGGAGAAATTCAGGGAAACCCTCGCAGCTTATCGATCTCTTCCTTCTACCTGAGGATTGGGACCTTAGGGTCTCTCCTTTCTCCAAGCTGTCTGCCCTTCCGGGGCCTTTCCCATCATGGTCTCTGCTTCTACCTTTTCTCCGCCCTTTCCTTTCCCCAATGCGCTTCTCACAGTCTGGTTGATTCACTGTCATCGTCAATTCCAATTCTGGTGACGCTATAGGACAGGGCCGAACTGCCCCTGTGGGTTTCTGAGACTGTTGACCTTTATGCAAGTAGAAAGCCTCATCTTCCTCCTGTGGAGCAGCTGGTGGTTTTGAACTGCTGACCTTGTTAGCAGCCTGATGTGTAACCCACTATGCCACCAGGGTCCCTCTCTCTCATATTGTGTACACACTGTTCATTTTCTTTGTTTCTCATAAATACTATGCAGTGCCACTAAAACACATGCAATCAAGCCACATGCCAGTACAAATAAGCTTATGGCCCTGCACTGACAAGCTGATTCGTGGAGGTAGAGGCCCCTCCTGGGTGGCTGTATGGCCAGACCACACCAGGTGTGTCAATCTGCCTGTCCACATTATTTTATCATGCTTGCCTTTCCCACAGAATAAAAGCCAAAAAAGCTGGGAGAATGTGTTTGATATAGAAGAATCTTTACACGTAATCCTTAAGGTGCTTAGAATGTTGGATTCCTACAGTGGCCTTCTTCCAAGTTCTAAGGCCATTAGGGCATAGAGGGGAACTTCACACTAGTTAATTTCCCCAAACTTGGAAAAACAAAAGCCCTTGGTAGTCCTGGCCTTTATAAATGAGTAGTTTAGGGTATGGGCAGGTTTGGGTTTGTATTCAGAGAGGATTATTACTAGCTACGTGGCCTTGTGTGGAAGTGACTTAATTTCTCTGAGCAGGTTTCCTTGTGTGTAAAAGAAGAAGATCTCCAAGGGCCTGTTCTGGTTTCAACTTCAGTGACTCTGACAACCAACAGTTGCCATCACAGGACTCTGGCGTATGGCACTCCCATGTGTGGCAGAGTAGGCTGGTATGCCATAGGGTTTTCAGAGGCTGATTGCTCAGAATTAAATTGCCAGACTTTTCTTCAAGGTACCCTAGGTAGACTAGAAGCTCCAACCTTTTTGTTAGCAGTTGACCATATTAATGGTTTGCACTACTAAGAGGAAAGGCTAAATATGTTTTAGTGGGTAAACCTTCAGGAGAAAGATGAGGCTGTCTACTCCTATGAAGATCTGGAGCCTCAGAAACGCATAGGGTCAGTTCCACTCTGACCTACATGGTCACTTTGAATGATCCTGCCATGTAAAAGAAAACTCAATTTAGTAGGAGGTAGAGCAGTGGTTCTCAGCCTTCCTAATGCCATGACCTTGAATACATTCCTTATGTTGTGGTGACCCCCCCAACCATAAAATTATTTTCTTTGTTACTTTATCACTGTATTTTGCTACTATTATGAATCGAGAGACCCCTGTGAAAAGGTTGTTCGACTCTCAAGGGGGTCACGACCCACAGGTTGAGAACCACAGAGAGCGCTTTACAAAATGAAAACTATTGCTTGAATGAATGAAGTTCCTAAAATAGGTGGCACTCAACCTGTTAAGAGATGTCCATTCATGCCCACATCATCTTGACAGTGTCGATATGGTAAATCTCTGATAGTTACCCTATGGTGATGATTTAACATTTAAGAGATTCCAGGTCTTTAGAAACGGAGTCAAGATCAGTTTTCCCTAGATCAGTCTATGTAGCTAAGCAATTGCAAAAGAAACTAAATAAAATGTTTTGCTCAAACTCAAAACAATATGCTCCATGCCAACACAGCCTGTGGATTTTTCTGCCCAAAATGTTTTTGTCATCTGGAATAGTTTTGAAATAGAACAACAAATGCCCGTAGAAACTGCAACTGTAGGAGTGATTGTTTGGGAGAAGTTTGGAAAGCTAAACGCTTTAAAATTCCTTTCAAAAAAATAAACTATGTACAGGGGAAATACAAAGATGGAAAAATAAATATCCATTTGATGTATTAAGGCTCTAGGAGATTTCATGGCCGTTGGACCCTCAATTCCAACTCACAGCAACCCTATAGGACAGGGCAGAAATGCACCCGTGGCTTTCCGAGACTATAAATCTTGACCAAATTAGAAAGCTTCGTCTTTCTCCCGAGGAGTGGCTGGTTGTTTTGAACACTGATCTTGCAGTTAGCAGCCCAGTGAATAACCACAACACCACCAGGGCGCCTCGTGTCCTTTGCTAGAAAGAGGCCAACAGAAGAGGGTTCCCAACTTGAGAGCCTGATAGGTCAACTCTTCTTACTTGGTTTCCATCAATGACTCTCCCATGTTCTACATTCAACAGCAAGAGAGAAGCCTTGGTACCACTATAAGTAACATAATATGAATCCCCTGTAGTCGCATGGAGTCCTGGAGGTATCGTAGTTAAAAGTGCTTAGCTGATAACTGACAGGTGAGTGGTGTGACCCACCCCCTCAGCACCTTCACGCCATAAAGATGAAACAGCCTGCGTCGGTCGAGATTACAGCTCCTTCTACTCCTGTAAAGCTTTGCAGGCTCAGAGAGCCAGAGGGGTGTTTTACCCTGCCTACAGGGTCACTATGAGTCAGCATTGACTTGGTGGTCGTGGAAGTGATGCCACAGGAGGGCGACTGAAAATATTCTCTAACATTAAATGGCAATGATGTCTCTAAGGTGAACCAGAGACATATATAAACCATAGATGCAGGAACTGATTTGGGGCTAAGGACAGTTCATTCTTATGACATGGCCCTGCTTGAAGCGTGCCCTCATGAAGCGATCACTGAAGATAAGTGTGCTATAGCAAAGTGTGGAGAAGAAACTAGCTATCCCCTGTCCAGCTATCAAATAAGCACCCACCTAAGTAAGGCATCAATCAATTAAGTCCACATGGAAGAAGCACAGTAGCCTATGTGATCCTAGGGTTGTTAATAATGTCCAAATCTAAAGGAGGGAATGATATCAGAGCTTAAATTGTGAACACGTGGTTTGCAGAAGGTGACGGATGACAGTGGAAGCTCACAATCCATTTGCAAGGGCCACGCATGAATTGAGCCGCGAGCGAATCCCCTCTGAACATACTTGAGGGATGTGAGTAGCCCCGTTACCAGCCAGAGAGCATTGTAAAGTCAATTAGGGCAGACATCGTTGGGTTAAAATGTAATATCTGATCACAGATTGCCCTTTTGACCCATTTTAAAGCTGTTTCCGTTTTTAAAAATAAGTAAAGGGAAATGCATGTGGATTAACCCCCTGGTCAATCCCCTCTGACCATGGACCAGGGATGTGAATAGGCTTGCTACCATGCGGAATGCGTTGGGAAGTGGACTGTTGCAGATGCAGTCAAATTAAAATTTAGCACCCTATCATTTGATTTCCCTTAGGATCCATTTAAATTTGTTCTAGTTTTCAATATTTCCTACTTTCTTTTTCTTTTTTTTCTTTCAGATTTTTATCTGTTTTACTTTGCTATTCTTGTTAGTTTGGGGTTTTTTGGTTTTGTTTTTTTTAATGGTTTTCTGTATAAGAAATCCAAGATGGGTCACCCTATAAAGACAGTAAGGGCATTAATGCTTCCTTAGGGGTGTGGTAGGGGAGGTTGGGGGGGAAATGGAGAGTTAATTGTGATGAGCACAAGAATGAAGAAAATGCTCTAGAACTGATTGCGGTGCTGATTGTACAAACCTTCTGGATATGATTCAACTACTGAATTGTATGATATGTGAATTATATGGCAATAAAACTACTGGGGGGAGGAGGAAAGAGGATTTACAGCCCCGGGAACCCTCGTAGCAGTTCTGCTTTATCCTAGCAGATTGCTGTAAGCTGGAACAGACTTGATGGCAGTGAATTCGGCATATTTTTATAGGACAGCGGAGTTCAGTAGTGAATCCTCACTTTCCGTGACAGATTTGGAACCAACTCCTAGCCCCGGTGCCTCAGGTGGCTACCATGTGCTGGTCAGGAAGGCTCATGCATTGCTATGATACTGAACAGGTTTTGTGGTGCGCCCAGAGGAAGACAGAACAGGACTAAAGGCATGGCAATTGATTTCCAAAAGGCAGCCATTGAAAAGCCTCTGGTTACAACAGTACAATCCCCTTGTATCTGGGATGGAGTCAGAGGCTGCTGGGCCATGACTAACTATCATAACATACGGTGCAGAGCTCTGGATTTAACACAAGAGGAAACTCCACGCTGCGGCCGGTTCTGAGTTGGGCTGTTATCTGCACAGTCAGCAGTTTGAAACCACCAGCTGATCTGTGGGAGACAGACAAAACTCCCATCCGGGGTCACAGCGAGTCGGAATTCACTCAGCAACAGTTGAGTTTGCTTTTGATTTAAGGTTTTACAGAGGGGGGAGGGAGCGGGGGAAAAAAATGAGGAGCTGATGCTAGGGGCCTGAGTGGAGAGCAAATGTTCTGAGAATGATGAGGGCAACGAATGTACAGATGTGCTTGACACAACTGATGTATGCCTGGATTGTGAGGAGCTGTGTGAGCCCCCAATAAAATGATTTTAAAAAAAAAAGATTTTTACAGAGGATCATTTGTCCTAGTTAGTCCACGAGCAAAGGGCAATTAGAGCTATTTTCCCATTTTTCAAATAAGAAAAAAGTCTTACGTAGTCAGGATGGAACCAACACTAGATTCAGGTCTGACCCCTAAGCCCCCCCACATGGCTCATACCCCCCTTTGTGGTCAGGGTGAAGAAAATGTTGGCATCCCCTTCAGACACCTTTCCTTCTGGGTTTCCGGCCACAGAGCAATATGGCACCTCAAACCCCATGCAAGGATTCTCCGCCACCCACGGGCTGGTGCTGCTGCAGTTCCCCCGGCATGGTGGCCTGCTGGAGCAATTTTCGAAGGAGGGGTTTCCTGCTGGCTGGGAGGAGGGTGGTCCTACCGAGGCAGGGAGCTGTACTGGCGCTGGGCTTGCTGGAAGCTCTCTCGCTCCTCTTGTCGCTGCCTCTGCATTTGCACCTCCACGGACACCGAGTGCCGGCCGCTCTGCGTGTATGGTTTGGAGTTCGGCTAGAAGAGAAGAAGAAGGCTTAGAAAGGACTCATCTTACACAGCGTGCTGATTTCATTGGCAGTCTGAAGAACCGATTTAAAAACACCTCCCACGTCCTCCAAGAATGATGTTTTGTGTGCTTTCCTAAAAACCCAGTTTGGGGGTGTGTTTTTTGGGGCGGGGGGCCTGGTTCTTAAAGAGGAAGAGAATTGCTCTGCTAACCCTAAATACTCAGTCATCTAAAGTTTCCATTTTGGCTTTGGAATGTAATTTAAAACTCAAAAGGGCAATGTGTTTAATCTTCTTACGGCAGCTTGGCAATTACTGAAATTAACTACTGTGGTAGTCACATAACCTGGTGTGAATTTGAGGATTCAGAGTGTAGGGGTAGAGTCTAGCCTGTCAATCTGGAGATAGCCAATGAGACCTCTGTGTGGGCATGGCCTTCTCCTGAGAATTCTAGGAAATCCAGTATCCCTTCTTGGAGGCAGGAGACACTATCTCTCTCAGTTCCCTCTGTTAGAGACTCTACTGACAAGGCTGAACTCCCTGTGGGAGACATTGCAGCTGACAAGACACATGGAACTACCCTAGTGCCCTGAGCCAGACAAGCCACATGGACGCAACCAGACCTCTGAAGCCGGAGAAGCCACAGAGAGACCCCTGCCAGCGCTCAGATGCTTCCAACACCACTGGACCCAAAGACTTTCTAGCCACTGGCTTGTGATCATCCTGCATTTGGCTTCATTGCATGTGTTTTGTGAGTTGAAGAGGACTTTATAGATTGGAATCGGACATATGGACTAATATCAGACTTGTGACCTTGGACTGGACTGGGTTGGGATGTTTTCTTAATGTCCAATTGCTCTTGTATATAAACCTCTTCCTTATACACATATGTGTGTCCATGGATTTGTTTCTCTAGTCTACCCGGACTAACATAACTAGGAGCTTACATTCTTTGTAAAGATGGCAAATGGAAAGAGAGGGGCTCCACAGAAGCCCAGAGGAAGCTAGTACACAAAAAGGGAAAGGAAAGAAAAGCTACAGTGACTCACAAAAGTGGGAAAGCCCATGAATGTAGGCATATGCTTAAAAGTCAGCTACCCCCCACCCCCGGTAGTTGCACGAATGTAACTATTACGGTGCAAGCTATGCTCCTTTTAACTACAGAACGGCCATTGAATTTTGAACCAAGATGAATTTTGAACGGAGCACTCTTATCTATGTGCAGTGTTTTCCCAATCCAGGGTGAGAGCCAAGAGGGAAAAAGAAACACCAAAAGAATAAGCCTGGAAGCTAATAGCCACAGGAGCTAATTATGACCCAAACCAAAAGAATCCCAAGGAACCACTGCCAATGTTCTTAAAGAGGAAGAGAATTGCTCTGCTAACCCTAGTCCATTCTGACTCAGAGCCACCGACCAGGGTCCCGACTCACGGCCACTCTCGAAGACAAGGTGGAACTGTCCCACGTGGTCTCTCAGCTACAAACATCGTTATAGAAACAGACTGTCGCACAGTGCCACTAAAATTTCTGCCAGAGCGTGATTGGGTAATGGTACTTCACCTAGGTTAATCATAACCCTACGGCTGTGCAGTGGGCTACGTGCAGGGCTTCGAACTGCAAAGCCAGCAGCTCCACACCCCCAGCAGCTCCATGGAAGGAAGACGAGGCCTCCTGCTCCCTTCCAGAGGGATAGTCTTGGGAACCCGAGAAGGCAGTTCTACTCAGACATGTAAGGTGGGGTGAGTGGGAATGGCCTTGGCGACAATGAGCTTGGATGTTCTGGAAGGAGCTCCAGTGGCAGCAAGCGGGATGCATGAGATGTTCCATGGGAGAAGGAGGTGGCAGTTTGCTTCCATAAACATTACAGCCCTGCAAACCCTGAGGGGCCAGTTCTACTCTGGCTCAAATGGCCACTATAAGTCAGAATAAACTCAATAGTAATGGTAATCATCATGAGCCTCGCCCCCCCCCCCCCCCAATATTTTCAATCACTGTCGCTAAATACTAGAAGTCCCTGTGTGGGGAATACTTTAACCAGCACATCATCTGCTGCGGTGTCTCAGCCATACTGTGTCTTAGCCATCCGTAGAATTGGATGGAGGGACAGACAGACCAGCAGACATAAGTCTGTATGTATGATGAGTAGGAATCCTCTCAATGGCATGGACAACCAGCAAGAGCAGGTATTGACCATGTCCCTGTGGATGTTTCACTGTTTGGCTGACAGACTCCTTTGTAGATCAGTCAACGATCCTCTCAATCTGGGCATCTCAACAACAGGCCCTCGACTCAACATGGAGAACGAGGTCCCTGCCGTTCCAAAGCACCCCACAGCGGGTCAGTGCCTCAGTGCCAGGTACTCAGTGCCAGGCATTCTCCAGTCCTCTTCTTGCCATTTGCTAGCTTCCTCTCTTTCTTGGGGTGATGCCACTGGTGCAAGCGACACAGTGTGAGGGAAGAATATCTTTGACCCCCCCCAAAAGTTAGTGATTTTCTTTGGGAGTTGAAAGTCCATGGCAGGCTTGGACTGGATAATCATTTTCTAAAATAATGGAGTCTTAGCATTCATTTGGGGAGTTGTAAGATAACATGTTGGCTTGGTACCCAAAGAATGAGGGCTGGCTTTGTCTGAACGGGAATCAAAGCCTCCTCTTTGTTCTCTTTCTGCCAGGCGAGCACTCTCTTGTTTGGTGGTAAGCAATAATAAGGCAATATACAGGACAAAAATTTCAAAGCATATGGGCATAGTCAGTGAGCATATTAAAAATATCCCGACACAAAAATAATGGGCAAGGAGATGGGCCTTTACAATACCCCAGTCTCTCCTAGTGGGTGTTTATAACCACTCATTGGAATGAATGTGTGTTCAGAGACCCACTCTGCAATACAGTTCAAATAACACATCAGTAGTGCCTTCAGCAAGCAAAACACTTCGCCGAGTGAGTTCTGCTTATGCAAACAAAGCATCAAGGTTTGTTCATCAACTACATTAATGGAGACAGGCATTTTCTTCCATTACCCTTGAGGAGGCTGGCCAAAAAGGAAATGGAGCTGTTTTCATTTTCTGGGGGAGCCAAGGGGTGCCTGAACGAAGCCATTGGACAGAGGGAAAGCCAAACAAGAAAACAGTATACAATTTCCGTGGTGGCCTTCCAAATAAGCACATTCTCCTTTCTTTTTCACTTGGCGTAAGCCGTACCCACGTGTCAAGCAGTCTTGAAGCGCTGGCATGCTGCGGCAGGATTTAGTAACCCGCTTCTTAAGCTCATGCTGTTCTCTGACACCCTGCTTGTGGAGATGTGCAAAGAAAATGCAAGATCTTATAGAAATTTCAAGTGTATTTTTAAGTTGGTCCTCCCAGAGACCGGAGAATGAATTTGAAACTGACAATGGAAAAAGAAGTCGAAGGGCTTCTATTTCCTCCACTGTGTGTTTGTCGACGCTGTTCACCTTGAACCTGAACTGCGCGTGCATCGAGTTGGGTCCAGACAAAAGCCAATAAGGAGACGATGGTCACATGAGACCTGTCCACTTCAAATGTGTATGTGAGGGGTGGGGTGGGTAAGAGACTTTGGTACCAGAAACCCAACAGATTTCAAACGAGCATGCTCACTATGATAAAATGGAAAACCTAAGCCTCGCTATGAATATTTGACTCCATTTCTCTTTTTTCAGATCCACTAAAGAGCTGGACTATTCAAAAGAACCATCCTGATCTTTAAGATAACACTTTAATGGGCCAAAAGGTTTCGAGGGAGACTGCACACATGGCTAGCCCATAGCAACAATTACGGCAACTGAATTTATCCGGGCAAGATAAGATGGCTTCTTGACCTGAATCTACAATCACCTTCCTGAGTTCGCCATCTCAATGAGGACCTCATAAAAATGTAAATGAGCAGTCTTACAAGCGACTATCTTGACTTTTAAACAGTGTGGTTTCAATTCCTGGGGCAGAAGCAAAAGACTGCGAAAGTCCAAGATCACACCAAAAGAAGAGAAAAAGAATCTGTAGCGGCAGAGAAGGCATGTTTTCAAGTGGAACAGCCCCAAATCCTGAAAGAACCAAGCAATGTCTGTTGAGAAAACAGGCGTGGAAGCATGATTGAAATAATAATTCTAGTGCTGCACCAGTAAACAAGACAAGAGCCGTTTCAATTGTACAAATTATAAGAACCCTGGCCTTGTTTGTGATGAAATTGGTGACGAGCGATGACCTTTTAAATTAAAAAAATTTTTTAAAAATTTAAATGGCCAGGGTTGGAAGGCCGTAATCACAGTAGAAGTGGTCAGATACCCATACCTGCAGGATTATCGATTACGCAGCACACTGGGGGCCATGAGACAAACGGGCATCTTCTCGTGGCTTGAGCGGAAAACCACACACGGGAGCTCGGCACGTTGCTCTCGCAAACGAGCCTCGAAGCACAGGTCTTTAGTGTGGTTACTAAGATACGCTTCTCAGGTTGGGGACACTCACATGATTTTGGTAACACAAGCGTCAAACACAGTATTTTTTTAAAACTGTGTAGCTCGTAGAGTGTTTTGCTGAATTAAGATCTCAAGGCCCCTTGCTCAATTAAATCACATCCTTCCTGTTTTTCCAAAATAAAAATGTAAAGTTGCACAAATAAAATTAGTAGGTAGAAGGATGGGAGGGGGAAAATGAAAGCAAATGTCCACAGTGCAGAGTTCCAGGAGATGTTAGAGAAGCAAGACCCATTGACCTGTAAGTTGGCTGGGACTCCTGGCGGCTCAGGGTGCAGAGCAGCACACCACGGCATAGGGTTTTCAAAGAGACCTATATGTGGCATTTATTCTTATCTTATAAAAAACATTTTAATAAAGCAGCCAACAACTATTAAATAACCTATCTTTCCCCGCCCCCTCTATAGACCTCTGTGTGATGTGTAGGTGTTTATAGGGATGGATGTATAGTACAGAGGCATATGTGTTTATGTATAGATATATAAGACTCCAGACTCACTGCAATCGAGTCAATTGCAATC